AACAGGCTCGATGGTAATGATATCCTTAAATTATATAATTATCAATGGTTAATCTATACGAAACGATACAGACACCAATCAATAGTATATAAATATCTCGGCACTGTATTATCTTTTTCTATTTTTCTTTATTTTTCTTTATTTTTCTTGTCTTCATTATTATTTACTTTTTTGTACATTTATTTGAACAAGTAATTATTAAAAAGAAAAACAATTAATGATAATAAAAGTAATACACTATTATGTATTCTCTATGCCTAATAATACATTCTAAACGTATATTTAAAAATGTATTATAGCATATCTAATAATTTTATAGAGTACCTTTATATAATATTCTATCTTTATCTTTATCCTCAAATTAAACATTTCTAATAGTCAGCAGAGTGTTAGATATTTAAAGCTCATCGCAAAGTCTGGGATGCCATTATAGATTTTTAATAATAATAACGAACACACAATACACAGAGTGCGAACAGAATAAAATAAAAAGAGAAAGAAAAGAAAAATATTCACGCTGTTCTAATATATAATGAATTAAAATATCCAGGAGAAGATTAAACTTGAAATTATATTTAGAATGAATGACTCTCGTATTTACATATTGTATATAGATAGACAATTGTATAAATGAACTCGTTAACATACATAGTTCACCATATGTATTTCCTTGTTATTTACTCTATATTAGATTAAATTCTATTAAATACATATGTGAAAGCGTGCTCTTATGAAGATAATATACTTACTTTTATAGTACTTTACTTTTAGTACTTGTTCCATTAATTTTGACATAGTTTCACTTTACAAGCCATTCCATTAAACTTGCCTATTATCAAAAAATATATAAGAGTATATGTAATGATTCTCTTGTATATATAATACATACATTTGTATACATTATGTACTTATGGATGGAATTTTATAAATTTTCCACAATATTTCAAACTATTCTGCTCTAATCGATGATAAAATTTATTACTGGTGTCTTTTTGATCGAATCTCCATTTAAAATGAACATAAAGCAAAATCTATTAAACACGTTGCTAATTATAAAATTACACACAAGAAGCAAATAAAATAATTATTTACACTTTACTTAATATGTGACATTGCATAAGATGTGTTTATATATATATCGAGCTATTGAAATCACAATATTTTTAGGTAGAACGAAGTATAAAATAAATCTTGGTTGAAAAAAAAAATAAAAAGAAAAGAAAAAAGATGAATATGGAATAAATATAATTATCAAAACATAAAATTTTTTAGGTAAATATGCTGCCCATTTGCAAATATAAAGTGTATACAAGTACCAAATTCTTTAAACGATATACATGTTATTAATATTTATAAAAAAAATAGACAAATTGAATGAATATTTATGCATACACAATAAAATTAAAAAAAAAAGAATTATCTTACATTATACAAGTAGAGATTTAGTTTTCCATCATGTTTAATCCAACTTGTTCTTGATATTAAAAATAATATATACATACACATACACACACTCAGCTAATAAAATTCAGATATAAAAACATTATTATCCTATTCTGAGTGTAAGTTCATGAGAGATCTTTAAATATAAATATAAAAAAAAATAAAATCATTAATAATTACCATATAACTGCCTTTTTGGAAATCTTATTTGTTACAAAACTACAAATAGTTTTAAATTTCTTTGTAAAGAAATTTTAATTAAATTAACACAATATAAGTGACTAGTTTTAACAATCCAGTATACATTTTTCTTTTCTGAGACGAATATATTTTCATAATTTATTTAAAAATATTTGTTTTCCGAACAATATATTAATTTCTTTAAAATAATAAATTATGAAAAATATATATAATATAAATATATTATGAAATATATTTTATCTCCATCTTATTCGGTTTCGCAAATATTGATATTTGTACAGTTGCTTAATATTATCGGTCTATTCATCCAGATGCATGCTTGATATCAATATAATTTCGAAAGTCTAACAGCAAGTTAAATATTATGTACAAATAAAAGATCTATTATAATCTATACTTTAAAAGAAATAAAATAAAAAAGAATAAAATTGTTTTCGATAAATTAAACATAATAGCTCGATGGAGTGCGCATACTATTATTGATATATGTATATGCAATGATAAAATACCAGTAATTTATAATTTTGACATTAAATAATCTTTCTGAGAAAATTGCATTTAAATATAGATGTGTCCAAGTACTTTGTACGAATAGAAATTTTACTAATTGTAAGTAAGTTAAAATACTCTTTGAATGATATTATAGAATTAAATTTCATGCATAAACACACATAAATATGAGATTGTAACGTGTGCATAATATTATTATATGCTTCATAGAAATTTACAAACTGATAATAGAAATATTATAGAAATTACTTCTTTCCCAAATGTATAAGACAACAAATTTATTCTTACATATTGTCTTACTTTTGGTAAGAAGTTAATAAACTTATCAAATTTTATTATCAAATTTATTCAATACTTGTGTATGCAATTCTTACTTCTTATTTCTTATGACGTTAGTATGCAAGTAAGCGCAAGAAAAAAACAACCATTACCATTTCTGTCGTGCTAATGCAATGCAGAATTCATGAACATATTAATGGAAAAAAAGGAACTAATATAAACGAAAAAGCTGTAGGAAATGACGATTTTCAAATGAAATGTACGACGTATTCAGCAAATTGTAGCGAATTGTAGCAGATTAATCAAATATCCAAAATAAGTGACAGCAAATATGCATTATATTCTTATATATCTCAAAAAAAAAATGTTATATATCCCAATCTGATAAATTTCTTTATTATTTTATATATATATATATTTATTTCTCATTCTTTATATTATATAAATAAAATTATAAAGAAAATCCATTCACACATTTGACAATGTGATTAAGACACACGATGAGATTATTTTCTTAATTTCTTCCAATTATTTACATTTGCGTAAAAAAAAGAAAAAGAAAGAAAGAGAGACGCATGTACCCAGTACATGTAAATTAACACAGATCTTAAGATCTTAACGTATATGATATAAGTTATTTATCCAACCATTTAACTAATGGTCTTAATATTGGTACTACAATATAAAATTGTAAAGAAATTATAAATTCCTATACGTAAAATATATTTACATTGTGTAAAGTATTATTCCTTTTGTAAACTTTATTGTTAATTATATTTATAGTTATCATGTTTTTATTTTTTTATTTAAACTGTTATAAAGTAATAAAAACATATTATATACATATATATAATTTTTGATAAAAACATTTTTTTAATTTCGTTACATTTTATATATATTGTTCTATCAATGATATTTTCATTTATTTATTTACAAAAAATTACTACATATTATATATTTATATAATATTATATTATATTAGCAATGTAAATAATAAAATAAGACTTTTATAATAGAACTGCACATCGCATAATCATCTTATATGCAAATAATTTCAGTCTTTTGTGATATCATTCGATTGTTCTATTAAATATGTTCTCGTTACAATACACTTAGTCATATAACAAAAACATGGAATTTCGTGTTCAACTTCGGCAGCATCTAATAATATAAATTCTATATTAAATTTTCTTTTTTTCGAAGTGTCCTTTTTTATTTCTAAATGAAATGCCACAGGCTCGTCTTTTTCTACTTTTACATCTACGGGCAATACAATTATAGTTTGCTTCCAATGCGTTGATGCATCAAATGGTCCTGTAGATAATTCTGAACCATCCGGAAATTCGACAGAAAACCAGATACAAATTCCTTGTAATAATCCTTCCTTATTACAAACTGATACATATTCGTCGTCGCCCAAAGTATTTATTTCTTCTAAACTAATGGTTTCTAAATCTAACCAAGTAATTAATTTACCATCCCCTAAAATGTCATCCTGATTCATCAATGCTATTTCTGGTTTCATCGATTTATTCTTTCGATAATGGTTTCCTATGCATCTAAATAAAAATAAAACAAATTTAACGTAGATTTTATATAACGTAAATTTAAATTATCAAATTATATACAAATGGTAATAAAAATGATAATTACTTCATACTAACTCCATAAACGTTATCCCAAAATTGGAACATACTTGGCAATTGACATGGAGCAGCAAACAATTTAGCTACTGACGGGAATAAGATTCCTCCTTCACGTAAAAAATTATCTCTAGCAAATAGAACTGATTCAAACATTCCTTCGTGTACTAAATAAAATCCCATCCATTCAGAGACTATAACATCTACCTTTTGAATATTATTTGGATCCAGATCTTCGACCCTACTATGAATTACTTCAATTACATTTCCTAAATTGTTTTCAGTAACAACTTCCTTGCATATTTTGGCTAATTCGCTAGCTTCTACTGCATATACTGTTTTTGCACCAGCCTGAGCACAGAAAATAGAGAGTATACCTAAAAACATGTATTCATTTAAAACAATTAAGATTCCACATCATTTTACATATAAAATTTATATTTTACGGTTTTGTAACACCTGTCCCAGCACCAATATCGATAACTACTTTGTCTTTGAATTTATCTGCACATTTAAATATAGCATTTTTATATGCTAAAGTTCTAGACGTATCATCAAGCATTAAACGATGGACCTAAAAATTATTTTATTATAATATATTCATGTAAACATTTATTTATAACCTATTTCTTACATCTAATTCTTCATAGCTTTTAAAATATTGATCCATGTTAAACTATTACGGCGAACAACAATTAAAAAATATTTATTCCGATTAAAACTCAAGGAAATCTAAAAAGAAAATTGCGAGAAACTAAATAAATTTAAGATCTTAACGAAAACGTGTTTTCTTTCACTTTAAAAAAATTCTGTCGATAATGCAGTGATCTACCTAATCGATATTGAAATTGACATTACCCTATCGAGATAAGTTAGAAATAATATTTGTGTTACGGGCGGAAATGACGCGTAGGGTAGGTAGTCGAAAGCTAACAATTGAAATATTTGTTTATTTTATTCGGCGTGATACGCGCTATTGAGATTGAATATTTCCAATTCAAATAAGAAAACTAAGTAAAATAATTGAAATTAACATCTAGTTGTTTATTAAAAATATATTTATATACATTACAAAATGGATGATGAAGCAGAAACATATAAATTGTGGCGAATTCGTAAAACAGTGATGCAGTTGTGCCATGATAGAGGTTATCTTGTAACACAGGATGAATTGGATCAAACTTTAGAACAATTTAAAGAACAATTTGGTGACAAGCCAAGTGAAAAAAAGCCAGCACGTAGCGATCTTATTGTATTAGTTGCACACAACGATGATCCTACAGATCAACTTTTTGTATTCTTTCCTGATGAACCCAAAATTGGCATAAAAACTATAAAAACTTATTGTCAGCGTATGCAGGAAGAAAAAATTCATAGGTATGCATCTTGAAAAGATTTGTTATAATGCAAAATTAATTTACATTTTAATTATAATATTTGTAGAGCAATCATTGTTGTGCAGCAAGGTATGACACCATCTGCTAAACAATCCTTAGTAGACATGGCACCTAAATATATTTTAGAACAATTTTTGGAATCTGAATTGTTGATAAATATCACAGAACATGAACTGGTACCTGAACACATAGTATTAACTCCAGATGAAAAAGATGAATTACTAACAAGATATAAACTTAAAGAAAATCAATTAATGCGTATACAAGCTGGTGATCCAGTTGCTCGTTACTTTGGTTTGAAAAGAGGACAAGTAGTAAAAATTATAAGACCTTCCGAAACCGCAGGAAGATATATTTCTTACAGACTCGTATGTTGATCATTGATACAAGCAACAATTAATGTTCATTTCGTGTTACTTCAATCCATTATTATTGATGAAATTTTAATTTTGATCTATAATAATATTCTTGTAAATACAAATAATTTTTAAATACATTATTATTATAAAATTCGTAGATCTCTTATAAAACCAATTATACTACCCACTATAACGTTAAATAAACATAAGATTTAACGAAGGGATAAATTAATATTACTTTCTGAGAATGCTTTATTGTACTATAATTATGATACATCGTTACATAATATACATTTGGTAGTAAAGATTAACTATATATCAGGCAGTAAATAATTACTAATGGTTGTACCACAAACGTGCAATAATTTCAAATGTATTCATCAATATAATACATTTGTTCTTTTCCTGATTCTAAGATCCACTTCGCAGGGTTATTTTATTAAAATAACGTACATAGATGAAAAAAGCAAAGAATTAAGAATATTTCTTCTTCTTTTTTTTAATTATTAATTCAAAAAATAAATAATATTAATCAAGGAAATTGGCACTATCAGAGCTAAACTTCTTATTATTATTTTTCTTATGCAAACGTTTAGCTTGAATACATTTCTTTGTTATACTATTTCTTGGTCCAAAGTATCGTGGTACGCTGTTGTCAAGTGACAACTCAATTCCAGATTTATTTAAACAGCTTGTACATGTGTGTCAAAATACATTGCTTATATACTACATAAGCAGATGTAAATATTGCTTTATTTATTATCTGCATACAAATAGGTCTTTTTTTTATTTTTGTTTATGTATTATTTTTTTTTCTTTTTCTTTAATACGCTACAATAATGCATAAAATTTGACAAATCTTAGCAAAGTGATAAATATGTAGAGATTGAAAGAGAGATTCATACTGTTATGCGCAATTGATGAATTTATATTAAAAATCACTAATTTATAATATCTTCTACATCATTATTACGAATATTAGCAATTTATTGTTTTAAAAACGGATAATAAATATGGAAAATACATGTATATTGCATCTTTAAGTACGAGCCAAACTTATTTTACAAAAAAAGCCATTAAAAATCAATGGTAATTATATGTTAAATTTTTACTTAACGTTAACTTCTTTAAATTTCCTTATTTTTTAATTTTTATTATACTCTTAAAGAAAAATTGTGAAATAGATTTTTTTTGTTATTCCAACGACGAATAAAAAAAGTTTTAACAGGAACTATGTTATTTCACACGTACACACACACATATATATAAAATAATCCAACTTACAAAAAAAAAAGTTAAAAATAACAGTAAAAATAAAAGACGCAGTGTTTTAAACACAAATAAAAATTTGAATGTATATCAGTTCTTATATATTTCATTATTTTACAATCTTATCGATGTATTTGATATATCACTGATAAATTAATCATATAAAACAGTCTTACTTTTTCTTTATTCATAAAATTATAAAGGAATTTTACTTACAGCTTCAGTTTAAAATGAATGAACAAAAATAAAAAAAAAAAAAAGAGAAAGGAATTAATTCTATACTTTTTCTATAATATTCGTTATTCTCTTTAAAAAAGTTATATAAAAAGTGTACTTCTCTAATATAAATTTAAATTTTCATTTACGAACAATGAAAAACAGTGTAATAAAATTGATAGATAGCGAGACAATAAATAGTATAAGTGATTTTTGCTTATACAATATAGGCATATATGGTTTATGGGCGTAAGTAAAAAAAGCATGCAAATATGATTAATGCAATATATTGTTAATAATAAAATGTAACATATAACGCAATAATAATAATAATAATTAATAATAATAATAATTACACAATAAGACTAAAAATTTTTCATTGTTTACATAGAGAAGAAAAAAGCAATAATTGCTGAAATCAGTAAACAGAATATTTTTTATGTGGTTGTTTTTCTTTGTTTTTCTTGTTAAATGTACAATATAGACTTCTTGTATCGTTTTAAAAATTACAAACTTCATATTTTAAATATTGTGTAACTGTGCAAATTAAAATTAACACATGGCAGACTTCGATAATATCGTATCGCTTCTTGGCATTTGTTTTTTTTTTTATTTTTGTTTGCAACAAATGAGAAATAGGCAGATTAAAAAATTTGCTAGACAAATAAAGTGCATATTAGCAATATTTGTTTACTATTTTTTTTTTCTTTTTTTTTTTTTTTAAATAGCAATAGTGTTTTTATCATATGAAGTATTCGTATTTCTTTATATTTCTGCATTCATGTAATATTTCTTACACAATTGTGTCAAAGATAATCAGTCAGAATATTTATTTTAAATAATCTTATATGATTATCTTCTTCAATATTTTTGTATATGTAGTATTTGTCTCTCCCCGCTAAATAGTAAATCTCTAAAATAAAACAAAAATTATTTTTTATTATTATAATTATTATTTTTCAAACCTGACGCATTCCATAAGATTCTTTTAATTACAAAATAAATCTCTTTAAGCGCTTTAACTGCTTATGTATGTATAATATAGATGATCAGAGAGAGAAAGAGAGAAACAATGATAATTAATAATAATAACTTTTTAAAACAGATTACACCAATTCTTTCAATATTTCCTTATGACTAAAAATCGAACAAGCTTTTTTTCTTTTTTATTCATATATATATATAATATATATATATATTTAGTCTATTCGTATTTGTATATGTGTGTACGCTGTATGTGTATGTGTGTGTGTGTGTATGTGTATGGTACAGATAATATATCTGAAATATTCGCGTTATTTATCGAACGTATAATAAAAACGTAAGAAAAGAAATGCTTTCTCTCTTCTTCTTTTATTCATTTGCGAAAATATTGACGATAAAAAGAGACAACAAAAAATTGTCTAATGCCAAAAGGCGATGCGCTTTTTTTTTTTTCTTTTTAAACGCTATACACGTTCGTATATAAAGTTATTATTATTATAATTTTGTTTTGTTCTTTTTTTTAGTAAGATTTCTTATGCAATTGTTATTTTATTTTATTTTTTGTAACTAGGCCCTTTTCTCGCCAAGGTCCCGGTTTCTTCGATTAGTGGTATCTGTATTAAAAAATACAAGATTTATGTAAATCCCAGTTCTCCTGAATTACTATCTGAGATAGCATATATAAGATGTATATATATATATAATATATTATATAGTATATTATATATTAATATAGTATATATATATATATATATATATATATAATAATTATAGTTTTAATATGGCCAATGAGCATGCTTGCAAAAGACTAATATGCTTATTATCTGTGATGTATAACACCATTTTCAAAATGGACTACCAAGAAATACTAAAGACCATTTCAAGTTTCATTTATAATATATGTCGATGTTACGGCTTTTTTAAATTTAACTTATGAAATATTTTTAATGATTGTGCACGCTTAGAGCACTTGGTATATATATATATATATATGTCAAATAAAAAGAAAAAAATATGTGCAGTTAATGAATGATATTCATTACATGGATTTCTATTTGATCGTAGAGACATACGATATACACATACGACATTTATCAATGTTAAACTTCAAATGGTAGCAGCAGCATATTCAGTCCCATAGAGAAGATTTAAACTTGTCCATCTAACGCGATATACAAAAACAATTGTGGACACTACCCTGTCATGTAATACATCAAGGAACTCTCTACACACTCTCGTATGGATTACTAAGGATGTAAGAAATGTTTTTTCAATGGGACCGGTCATAAGTCCTTATTAAATAGTATTTAATGTCGAGATCGTATTATTACAATAACTCGACATTTGGAACCACCAGAGTATATTCCTGGTAGCCCACTCAGATAGGTGCTTTGCTCGCAAAATATTCCAGATTTACTTTTGCAGCGAAACTGATCATTCTGTATATGATTGATGGTGGGATAAGGCGGTCAATAGTTGAGACCTGCATTATATATTAAATCAGGCCTAAAACAGAAGATTCATTTGTTCTTTTTCTACAACCTAAAAAATAACAAGCAAAATGAAAACAATAATTTTTGTAGAAAGATTTATTTCAGTTATTGTTAGATCTTATGATTTAATTTTTGTTATACCTAGGAGTGATAGGGAGTAACGTAGGTAGATGGAAACAGTCCTCTTCTATTACCAATTTCCCCATGCCACCAATGCTGATCTGTGCGATCTGTAACAGTTATTACATCTCCCCGCCTGAACTCCAATTCACCAGGTTCTTGTGGAGCAAAGTCATATAATGCTTGCACTAAACACTGTGTGAAATAAAAAAATAAATATATTTTTATACATATGCGTATTACATTTCCAATCAATAGTAATTACTTTGTGAACATTCTTACCTCTTCAGGAATCATATCACGTAATTTAACATCTTGCGAACGTGATACAGATGCTGTACGATGATATTCTACCAGTTCATTCAAACTATTAAACTTAACAACCCAAAGAAAAAACTTGCCTTGAGCGTCTCTTAATACTTTAAAATGTTGCACACCATCTGAACATCTGTCGTCATAAAGAAATAATATAAATTTTTGAACACTTGATGATTTGTTTAAAAGTATTATCATTGCAGAAAAAAATATATGCTTACTTTACAGATAGTGAAAAGTCTCCAGGAGAGCTTTCACTGATTCTAATCAGAAAGGCACCTTCATGCTTATTCATTAATAGCCTTTCTGCATCTGCTCTTGTAATCTTTCCGTAATACCAACTAAAAATGAAATCAGAATAGTTAAAGTATATCTTCTTTTAATTTATTACAATGTAAAAAAAAATATGTAAAAAGTAAACTTACTCGTGATTTTTCATTTCTATGTAATTACTTGGAATGAGTCCTTCTCTGGAATCTAATTCGGCTCTGAACCAATTTATATCATCCTCCATATTCAAAATCTAATAAAGAAATAAAATATTACTTTATATTTTATATAAATATATAGTTATATTAATATAAAAACAATGGTGAAAATAATACACATTTATTTTTTATAATTTCATTATTATTTATTGTTTATTTACTTATATTCATATAAAATAATGGCCATTCAAGTTTTTGAATTTCGCGGGTGAATTTCTTTTCGACGAATACGAAATCATCTATGAATATAGTAAAATAGAGCCACATCATATCGATTGTTACTATGAGGAAGAAAATGGAAAGCAATTAAGCTATACACTAATGACGATGTTAGAAAATCTAATCATATGACATTAATTGAAATAAAATATCAAATCAGATACTGTTATCGCTAGAGTCGATTGATACAAAAATTTTATTACAAATTCCATTAGAACAATTTACTCCAATCATTAGATGATGATTATTATTATTATTATTACTATACAAAAATAACAAACTAACATTATTTGTAATCAAAATAATAACAAAAATATTAAAGGCAAACAAACAAATGTTCAATTATGAGATTTCATACATTTGTTTGCCCAGTAACATAGTAAACTCTTTTTATTAATGCAATTTAAAAAATTAGCCAATAAAAAATTGTGTCAAAAAAAATATTGCGTAATGATTGCACATAAAAGTATACAACCAATAAAAATTACAAAACAATACTGTTAAGAAATTCTCGGCTCGCGATAAAAGGACTTAATGATTGCATTTCATAAAAGAAATAAAAAAACATAATAAATATTGTTGCAAGCCAATCGAATATTTATGTATAACAAAATTCGTGAGTGCATATGAGAAATGTTTGCGGATGTTCGGTGATCAGTCGTCTCGCATCTGAGCCAATCAGAAGCAAGTATATTGGCCCGACGACGGTGAGCCGTTCGTTGATTGGTTAGTTGGTTCATTAAAGTACGAAGAAACGATACTTTCGAAGGGTCTGTCATCGAAAAATGCAATCAACAATAACAACACACAATGCAACGATGACAATAATAATAATAAAAATAAAGATAACAAAGAAGAAATCAAATAAGTAAAATTGTCAATAAAAAAGAAATCATTTTTTCCCATAAATACGAACCTTAAGGACTTGACACCTGCGAAAGCTAAGCTCATCCTCGGCTGTCGCGGTAAAGTCGTGCTTGGCTACCGCCTCCATTCTTCTTCTTCGTCTTATCCTTCTTCTTATTCTTCTTTTACTTTTTTTCTTTCTTTTTCTTATTCCTCCTTCTCTTTCTTCCACTTCTTTTTCCCTCGAGGGTCGAACGCGCGTGTATATACTAGACGGATTGCGGTGAAGAGGACCGAGAGAGGAACGAAGAGAAGGAAAAGAACAAGAGAAAAAGAGCGAGAAGGATAAAAGAGGAGTAGGAGTAGGGGAAAGAGATAGAAAGAGAAAGAGAAAAAGCTATATCACAGAGAGAGAAAGAATGAGAGCCAGTCCTCGAGGCGGCACCAAAGGCGGTCACCTTTGTCTGTGAATGTAAAAAAAAGGAAAAGAGGAAGAAAGAAAATAAGAAAAGGAAAGGGAAAGAAAAATAAGGAAACTCCGAAACGTAACACAAGAGCAGTAGCAGAAGGAGGAAGAGAAGAGTTAGGAAAATTTGTTGATCGTTCGATTTCTTTTTCGAATAGCACTTGCTTCCCAGTTTTCACTGAATTAGCATATCGTTGGATGAAACGAAGGTGGCTCGTTGCACGTATATTGTATATGTAGTATATATATAAAACTTGTACGAAAAAGCTTTAAAGACGCGCACTTACAAACACATCACCAATATCTCACGTTCGCGCACAGCAGCAGCAGCAAACACAATACACTGCTTTTTGATTTCTCTCTCTACCCCGTATGTATCAAAGAATATTACCAAAAATTTTTTGACTCACGATCTCCCACTTTTCGTCTTTGTCTCTTTTAAGCTTTCCTTTTCTATTTTATATATCTCTCTCTGTCCGTCTACCTATCTCTCTCGCACTCTATTCAAATTCAACGGCGTTCAATGACACCCGCGAACGAACTAAACTACGATCACGACAACTTGCATCCTCGTTCTATGAAATCGAGAGAAAGGGTAAAGTGAAACGATCAAAGAAAAGAGAGAAAGAGAGAGAGAGAGAGAAGCTTGTGTATCGAGTCAAAAAAAGGAAAATAAAAAATAATAAAACAGAGAGAGACACAAAGTATAATGGCGGATCCGTTGTGTTGTGATACCTGTGTATTTAAAAAAGTACAGTTTTTATTCCGATATTAAATTTCCTCAGATATTATCCTTATCTGTTTTTCTTCAACGGGACGAAAGGTAGAACTGTCAAAATAGAAAAGGTACGTTGCTCGGATCACGCACTCTCACGAGAGCGACCATCGCTCGGTCTTATCAGGCGTTACACTCTCTCCTCGCCCGGTATAACCGTGCTCTCTTTGCGTTTCATCCTCAATATTCTCCTTCTCTCTCTTTCCTTCGTCAATGCGCACTGAACTATTGCGCACGTTGACGTCACCGACTTCAGCCGAACTTACCCGAACTGATGTGTGCGCAAGGAAGACGTTCTTTTTTGCACGTCCTCGTCCTCGTAATAACTTATATAGAAAATATTTCTCAATATTTTATCTTTTCCGAGCTATTTATTATCTTAAACGCAAACAAAATGACTAAGGCCTCTTACTTTTGTAACGTTGTTTAGAGATAAACATGGGAAGAAAGATTAGGAAACGTTGATTTTAGTTAGAAATTACGAATAATTATTTAACGAACTAGTTTCTCGTCGCGCAGGTTGCGCATGCGCATACAATTCGTTCGAAGATACGACTACTCGATCGACTCTACTCGGTTCGACTCGATTAAACTCGGCTTAACTTAGCTCGCTCGTTACTTCGTTTACTTACTCGCTTACTGTGGTAGCCATCTTGCGTTCAACGTGAGAGGTCGTATTTCGATCGTTTTCGTGTTATTTTGCACGAAAAATCAATCTTACTTCTCTGATACTTCGTTAATATTTTCATTCCAATAATAATGATCGAGAGATACTGATATATATTAAACAAAAAATTTTCTCCTTAGGAAAAGATTAATATGTTTTTTGCTATCTTTTATTTCTTAATTTTTATTATTTTTTTGATTCTATAGAAATGGAATATGTCGAAAGAGTAATGTAAAAGCAATTATGATGTAGAAAATAATCAATGTTTGACGTGAAATCACGATTAGGTTTATCAATAATTACTCGGTAACAACGAGCATATATATTTGTAATATAAACAAAATGTCTATCCTATGATACCGTCATGTGTATACTCTCTTTTATATATATGTATATTTAGTAAACCTACTTATCGTGCTCTCTCTCTTTCTCTCTCCCCACTCTTTCTAACTATTCTTAGATCGTTCTAGAAACGAGAAGTTGAACGTTCGTATGTATGTAATTACTCCTTGTAAATATATACACTTACTAAGTATATATTTTATCTTAATGATCGAAAAAATACATTCCATAAAATTAAACGATTTCAAATTATTTTAAGTGTATATATTTATATGTTTATATATAAATATCTAGATAAAATTGGGCTTGAACTTATTATGCCCAAAGTGAGTTTAAAAGAGCGAAAGTTTAGCGCGAAATAGAAATGCGAGAAGAAAAGTATTATATCGCGTTAGGATTACAAACGCCAAATGGTCACGTGTCTTGTAAACAGAAACACGAGGTGAAAGCAGGGTGGAACGTACGACGAGTAAAGTCACTTTTTTCAAATCCTCGATCTTCTTTATAGGATTTCACCTTTCTACGAGTTTATCCAATCGAACAGTCAAAGTTAAATATTAATTTCATACACGTACACGTACACGTATACGTTTATACATATACGTTAACATTTTCTATCATTGTTTTCAATTCTCGTGAATTTTACGATGTATGTATCAAGTTATATAATCTCAAATTGTATTTTTAATTTATCGAATTCCACAATAACCATTGACGATTGATGACTCACGTAGTTGTTACTTACTTCCTCCATTTTTTCTTTTATTTTTGCGTAATGTTAAAATATATATTTTTGTTTTTATTTATTATTAAATATTTGCATGATTAGTACATACATTTATGATACATTTATATTATAATATATAATCTCTTGAACTATTAGGCAATAAATTTTTATCTATAACATATATGTATATATTTATTATCTGTTAGATTAATATTACGCACTACTGACGTAATTAATGATACATTAAAATTGTGCTATTTTCTTATATAAATATGATTAATAAAAATGTTTTAAAGGCATATGAAAAATAAATTTAGGTTTTACATTGGAAACGACATCTCGTCAAGAATCATTCGTTCATAATGATTCGGAAATAGAATCGTTAAAGATATATACATATATACATATATGTATGATTGTTGTAGGTGCTGGAAAATTCAAGGTTGCGATCCGCGATCGACAATTGGAAACGGCTGTTCATCCGATAGCAACTACGCTCATTGCTTTCTGTAATTAATTGTGATTGTTGTTTTCCCGACTCCTATTCATTTACTTCCAATTTTATTTTTATTTTTCATTCATTAATAAATACAACGATCTAACGATTTAACGAATTTCTATAAAACATTCCTTTATATTGACAAATTATTTTACAGAAATTACATTTTTAATAGATGAAAAATTAAATGAAGAAATAAAAAAAGAATTCTATTGAGAGGAGAAATATCAATTGCAGCAAATAAAAATAATGGAAAAAAGAAAAATTTTATATTCAAAATAATTGTAATCTAACTGCAAGCGGACTTGTTTTAACGACAGATCAAATAAAAATCTATCGATACAAAATTGAAAAGTTAGGAGACTATCTGTATCGAAAAATAAAAATTAGTTTAATCGAAAAAGAAATTGGTTCTGTGTTAGGCTACTAACTTTTCAACACGCTCATATATTTCAAAAAATTCCAATTCGCGTATTGTGACATTGAGATGACCAATGTTTTTGATATTGTACGATGACAATCTATAATCCTATATATGTATATGTAGAAACATACATGCATAAATACATAGATACATAAAACGTGAGCAATATTAGCGCGGAAATTGAATTACCTTTGTGCGACTGGTGCACCGATGAACATGAAAGACGTATACAGCCAAGTTGGCACCTTAACAAGCTTCCAATTAAATACAGCTGCGAATTATTATTTTTTTTTTGCGAGAAAGGTCGGACATATTCACGCGCGTGATTGGTTACAAAGAATCTATTGTAATATTTCTTTCGTTTCTGATTAAAAGACAAAACTAGAAATATTTTTCTCTCATTCGTTGACTTATTTTAACATTATATTTGTTCAAATCATCATAAATGTGATAATAATACTTTTTTCGTTACTCGATTAACTTATTTATTCGTTTTAACGAGTTTTGTACACAAATTAGCAAAGACTATTATAATATTTCTTTCGTTATTCGTATTTCTTTATATTGCATTCGTTTTTATCTTTTTTATTTGTCTAATTTTTGGTTTTTAAATGTGTACGTATGTGTTTACAGTTGAAACGAAACGCGCAACGTGTTTTTATTCAAATCTCGTCAATGCGATCGGCATTGTCATTCGGACAGTGGCGAATTCATGAATACGCGCGTTTTCGTTTCCTGTGAAAGATTTACGAGCATTGTAATACTAAAAAGAAAAAGAGAAAGAAATAAAAAAAGAGAGAAAGAAAAAGAGATAGAACACGCGAACGCAACCGAGCGAGAACTACTCGTTTCCTCCCACATTCAATAAAAAATGTCGGAAATGTTTGCGCGCCATTCAGTGGAAATAATCATCGTGTGTCGTGTTCCTCTTGATTCGATATTCTACTACCGTGATTTTTTCAACTTTCAATGTATCGTGTACATATATACCTATACCACGTGCCACATAGATATATAACAAACAAAAATAAGAAATAATATACTATACTATACATATATATATGTATAATATGCAATATATATTATAGTAGTATGTATAGTATATATTATAAAATAAACGCGAACAATGAAACTCGTAGATCTGTTCTTATCTCTTTCTATCATTTATAAACAAATTTTCTATTGGTCGTGTTGTTCTATCGTACTCAGAACATACTTTAACTACCCACCTCTTATATGAACTCATATGCAATCACGTTATTTCTTCGAATTATTAATTTTGGCGTATAATGCAATTCTTTTTATACTTTTTCTCCTAAAAACACCTAATTATTTCGGGTTAATATTAGGGTTTCCATGATTTAATTGAAGTATACAATTTAACGCCGGACATATACATTAAATATGTATGTACTTTTCTTTGTTATATTCCCACGAGATTGTTTATTTTATTTTAAGAATTGTGGAAAACGAAAGAAATGGTGAGATAGAAGAAGAAGAAGGGAAAGGAAAGGAAAGGGAAACGTAATTTCGGTTCTAGTTGTGTCTGAAGGCGATGTCACAGTAGCGTGTGTCTTGTCTTCAGGATGGCTCCTTGAAGACTGTTGAAGATGTACAGGCAGTCGTGAGCTTAGAGGGGGCCTCTCTTCTCTGCCACGTCTCGGTAGATGAAAGGCTCTCGTGACTATCAAAGGGAAAGGGAAGAGATAAAGGCTCGAACACCAGACAATGGCCCTGAGCCTCCTACGTTTTCAGCTCGTTTTAGACAGTTTCTAACTACTACTACACTACTACTACTACTACTACTACTATTACACTATTACTATTTATATATTTTAACTAGTCTTCTTATTTTACCGGAAATTACATATATATATAGGTACTATGTAATATAGTATAATTTATAACACAGTATGTAGTATTTACTATTGTTTAATATGTAGTGCCATATATGGTATAATATACGGGATGCATAATATTTAATTGATTTATTTGTGTGTCAAGATAAATATATCGTGCCAGATGTACAAGATATCATTTAAATCTTTTTTCCTCGTATGCGTCTTGTTATAAGTAAAAATCGAAAAAAATAAAAAGAAATAAATCTAGGGAAGAAATAACGAAGTAGAATCATGTTCGAGGAATAAAAAAAGAAGTCTCATTGCAATTCACGGTAGATCGTGATTTAGATTGTATCGCTTTGGAATAAAATCGTTGGATTAATTCAACGAGAAAATAATCGCAACATTTCGAGGTTGCAAATACGTACGTTTTTAAATGTTAGGCTAAATTTTTCTTTTTTTCCGGTTTGTAAAACTACGAACCTAATTACAAACAACCTATAACAAGTTTGATAAAAGTATAGTTGAATTAATAAATTATCGAGGAACTTTTAGCATAGCTAGGAATTGTCGAGCCTCTTCTGTACACACATATTGGCAAATTGCCATAAGAATATTCTCAAGAATTTGCACGATGTTATTCAAGTCAAATTCAAGTAGACTCAAACACGCGACCATGCTTTTTACTACTACTTCTACCACTATAACCACATAACAAAGAAGTTAAATAAATAAACTTTGAAAAACTTCATGCTAAAAGGTGTTGAATT